GCCCAAGCGTCAACGCAAACGCAAGCGAAAGCAAGTTGGCGAACTGAATCGCAGGTACGTCAACCGCCAAAAGTCCGCCGCATGACCACAGGTCTTGGATCGAGGATCGAGGGGGATCAGAGCTTGAACTGATTCGCGGTGTTCGGTTTTGCCGCCGCACCATTCGCGTTCTTCTTGTTCTTCTTGCCCGATCCCGCACCGGCAGCATTGGGCTCCTTGCCGATCACCGAGACGCCACGGTTGCCAACGAGCTTCTTGAGAGCCTGCTGCTTCTCCTCCTTGTCGTTGACCTTCTTTGCCCTGACCAAGCCAGACATCTCGAGCGCCTTCTGCGTATCCTGGATCTTGTCGTTCCTCTGCCTCTTTTCGGCACGAAGCTTGTTGTGCAGTCTCTGCTTCTCCTCTGGAGTCATCTCGGACTTGGCACCTTCGATGGCAGCCGAGTGCTTGGCACGCTCGTACACCTCTTCTGGTGCCAACATTGTGCTACTCGACGCCGTTGCCGGCAGGGCAGATTCAATCGCCACCGAGGGAGCATTGGTGATGGTTTGGATCGTTGCCTTCGGAGCGCGCGGGGTAAAGTGCGCGTTGGAAAGCGCATCGAGCTTGTTGAAAATGTCGTCGTAGAGCTGCGTGATGTCTTCGTGCTCCTTGGCCAATTTTGCATCGGCTTCAGCCATGGGTGCCCCCTCATCGCCATCAGCCCCACCGCGAGCGGCTTGATACTCTTCCTCGTACAGCTCGGCGAGACTCTTGGCACTCTTGCTGTCGGAAAGCTCGAGCAGGCGCGAGGGGAGGAACGGCAGAGCTTCGAGTTCGCGCCTGCGGATGACGTCGTCAAAGTTGCGCTCGAGGATGCGTCGCTTGATGAGCTGTTCGAGCGACTCGGTCATCTCCTCTGTCACCTGCGGAACCACCTTGGCGGCCCGCTCGAACTCGAGGTCCTGCTCGAGAAGGCTGTCCTGCGGACGCGCGCGTGAACCAGCCTCGCCCATGAGCGTCCACTCCTTCTTGGCGACATTCTCGTCCTCGAGCCGCGCGATCTCCTCCTGCAATGCAGCCACGCGCTTCTCGTGCGTCGACAGCTTCTCCTGCGCATCGTCCTCATCGTCGCTGTCGGCAAAGAGATCACCAGCCACCCGACGGGCGGTCTTGGCACCCTGGCCGTCGTCGCTGCCAGCTTGGCTGCCTTCAGACTCGTCTTCGGACATGTCGGCACGACCCTCGTCCTCGTCCTCGTCCTCGTCCTCGT